CACGTGTCATGGACCAAAAGACGTGATAATTGTGTGTAGTGTAAACAAATGCACATGTCATGGACCAAAAGACACGATAATTGTGTGTAGTGTAAACAAATGCACATGTCATGTACCAAAAGACATGATAATTGTGTGTAGTGTAAACAAATGCACATGTCATGGACCAAAAGACGTGATCATCTGTCAAGCATGAACATCCTGATCCATCAGGCTTCAACACATTGTTTTGTGACTGGACAGGATATAAGTATTAAAAAAACAAAATATTTAGTAATATATACAAAGCTTCTTAATACTTCAATTTCAAAAGCTGAACGTATTCCAACCCAAAATTATTTCAAGTTAGGAATACACCATATTTCTTTTCATATGGAGACAGGCCAGGCCAGTAATTTGTGATCTTCGTTAAGACAAAACTACAAAATCTGACCATTAACAGTAAGACGGCACTTCATCATTATCAATATACACAGTGTTTACCATTTGACGTGATGTAGATCCAAACAGCACAAGGTTAAATTTGCTTTTTTATTCACAAGCCATCATTTGGTTATATTTTTGAAAGGCAAGATTTCATTATGGCACTGATTTAAATTATGTATCAGTGTGTGTGAGAGGGGGGGGGGGTTGAATCTACAACCATATGCAACTCTATATCCCAAAATAGAAGTTGTTTACAAAACTACCTTCAAGCATCACATAATACCATAAAAATATCACTTGAAATGGTGTATTTTGATAAGCAGTAGGGTTATTTTTGTGGGTTAATCAACATTGGGCCACTAATTTAAAAGTTGGTTTCTACAGAGAGGAGTTCCTCTATTACATTCAAGTATGTTTATCCTGGACCGAAACTCACTTTGCTCACAAAAAACCTGTGAATGTGGCACATCACCAAAATGTACTTTAACTAGTGTATATTAAAATAGCTGAGGTATTTCTGGTGCCAATTAGCATTGGGACACTAATTTAACAGAATTCTACAGTGGGAAGACCTCTATATTATGTACTGGTGTGTTCATCCCAGCCAAAAATTGAATTTGTTTATATAACAAACTGTAAGTGAAGTATTCTCAGATTAACTGCTTTCTGGAAAGAATATTAGGTAGGTCCACTTAATAACAGGAGGATTGATCAGGATAAGTACAAAGTAAATTTAAATTTATCAACACACCGATGTTTCTAAAGCAAAATAAGATTCTATGTGTACTTGTGTAGGACTTTCACTCTCAACAGTATAAGTGAATCACTTAGCAGGTTTTGTTTCTCAAGATGTTTTCATGTGAACTGACTTATCAGAGATGAAATAGAACTGTGTGAATCTAATGCATCTCAATTAACAGGAAACCTCAGATTTACCTATAATGATTAGCGCTACCCAGAAAGTGACTGTTTATTCTCATACAACATAGTTAACGCCATAATCTTTAGATATCACTTACTTGGCCAACAAAGGACATTGTTGCCATTGGCCTTCTTGCATGATGTCCAATGCTACAGAAACATTTTTGTGAGCAGAGCAGGTATCTCTAAGTGAACAACTGAGGAACAAAGTTTTTCTGAACCCACATGTTTATGCAAAAACCACATATTTTGTTTGTATGTTATTAAGCACAAAGCTGCATAATGGCCTGTCTGTTCTGTGGGTATCAAAACCCGAATTTTAGCATTATAAGCCTTCAGACTTACCACTGAGCTACAGGGAGGCAAGCTACATAGATAAGACAAAAAAAGAAAAGAAAATTCCTACACTAATATAATATAGCAAAAGAAATACCTGCAAACTGCACTTCTTCCTTCCCTCTGTTTCAGCCATATTCTCAAGCTGAGAGTTATATTTAACTTTAAACTCCTGACATGGTGTAGATGCATGTTAACTTTCCCTTGTTCCTACAAGTGTTTAAATGATGACATTAACCTGAATAAAAACTATATTGAAGTTCAAAGCAAAATGAAAACCATGAACTGTAATTAAAAGCAATAAAATATGAAATACAGTTTAAAATTGGTACATAACATTATGTGAAAATACAATAAAATTCTTCAAATACATATTCATCTTAAGTTAAAAAATACCCTTTATAAAAGCTTTGTTATTGTAATGATATGAAACATATATATAAAGGTGAAACTATTGAATAATCAAATAGACTCGCACATATAGGTAACACACCATTTAACAAAGCTATCACCTTAGGTAGCTCAGAGTTCCACCTTCGGGGCTTGTTTCTAGGGTCCCAAAGGTCCTACCAGCTAGTAACCTTAGGTAGCTCAGAGTTCCACCTTCGGGGCTTGTTTCTAGGGTTCACTAGCTGGTAGGACCTTTGACCTTAGGTAGCTCAGAGTTCCACCTTCGGGGCTTGTTTCTAGGGTCCACTAGCTGGTAGGACCTTTGACCTTAGGTAGCTCAGAGTTCCACCTTTGGGGCTTGTTTCTAGGGTTCACTAGCTGGTAGGACCTTTGACCTTAGGTAGCTACAGAGTTCCACCTTTGGGGCTTGTTTCTAGGGTTCACTAGCTGGTAGGACCTTTGACCTTAGGTAGCTCAGAGTTCCACCTTTGGGGCTTGTTTCTAGGGTTCACTAGCTGGTAGGACCTTTGACCTTAGGTAGCTCAGAGTTCCACCTTTGGGGCTTGTTTCT